AATTGACTAATCTCGTATTACACACCCAGTTTATTCTTCTTGGTGACTTATTTTCTGGGATTCACTCCTTGCTGATGTTATTTCTGATATATCTGCTGGGTTTGACCTGAATCTTTCAAATACACGTGGACCTTGCTTCTGTCTCTCCAGGCTTAGCAGTCCAACTTGAATGATCTGTCCTTGATTTACACAGTAAATTTACACAGCTGTCCTGTAAGTCTACACCATACCCAGTGGTATTCATATGTCCAAACTGGATCATCAGATTTGCTGACCCATAGGCTCTGTCTTGGTCACTGATATTCAGAAACCAAGAATTACCAACTGGAAACTCCGTGGCCAAGTATTTTATGAGTACAGTGGTTTGGGCTGTTTTGCAATTCATCCCAGGTCATCCACCAGACCCCAGTGCTCATCTGTACCTGTACCTCGTTTTTTAGGATTTTCCAGGATTGTTACGTTCTTGTTCATCTAGGCAATGATTTGTTTTCATGTTTTACCAAGAGGATTGGTTTTTAGTGTTGCTCTGTATGCAGGCATCATCAGCGGGATGTTTAACATGGTATGTCCATCAGTCTCATCGTTACTGTATGTTGTTGATGTTGCCATTTGCAGTTGAGTACTGATTATAGCTCACCATGAATTCTCTCCCACGCTGGGTTCTGCAGAACGAATCTTCCTTCTTCACAGAAAAAACCCAATGCATGTGCTTCACATGATTGCAGGATTTACATCCTTTCCTCAGTCTATTCTTAACACCTGTACTTTGCGGTCTTTTTCTGCCTGTCAGGTTTCTAGGCCTCCACCTTGAGAGCAGAGTCTCGCAGTAACCTCGCTTGTGAAGGCTCTGCATTAATTGTGAACAGTGACTTAACATTTTGAGCATTTTAAGTGAAAGATCTCGGGACCAAGACTGGATGGTAATGCTTTGACTTCACTGTACACTAATGTGCTTTAAGCTGGACTGTGGCAGCTTTGTTTATAGGTCCACGTTGAAGTCTAACTGTCCATTCTGGACACTGTTCACAGCACTGGGAATTGTCATGCCACTGCCTTCCATACCAGCCTTCTGGGGAGTCTGGGCAGAATCTAGAGAACCTTCACCCTCCCTGCAGAGTAATCTTCCCCAACATTTCACAGAAAAAGTGCCCAGTCATCTTCCTTTTAATGTGGTCCATCACCCTACCCACTATAAGAGAATGAGTTGAATATCAGAGCCCATCAACTTATTGATGTACATTTTCACTCCCTTCTTCAACGTTTTGACATCTGTTTGTCATGTATTATTCCCAGTAGACTCTTATATCCCACCCTGGCATCTCATATGTCCAGTGTGCGATTTTGAACTCATCAAACATATAAGAGGCAAAACGTGCCCTTACTTGCTGCTGGCTCCTTGCCACACTTACTGCCACTTATCCAGACAGCACAGTTGTTTATACTGACAGGTCATTTGTTCAAGGGTCAGCTGCATGTGCCTCCATTTCATACTGCCTCCACAGCATCTATGGCCCGACTTTATGCCATGTACTAAGCAAGCTCTTCTGTTCCTGCAGCTGCAACCTTGGCAGTGTTACCTCCCTAAGTGCCTCACACATTGGACCATGTGGTCATTTTGGAAATTCTGCAGCAAGGTACAAAAATCTGTTGTATTTTATTGGATACCTCACTACACTGGTCTGCCAGGGTATGAGGCCACTCATGCTGCAGCTAAAGAAGCCAGTTAGGTAGTGCTGTTCATGCCTTCATCATGCTGGTCTGTTACCATGACAAGACAGATGAACTCATAGAGTGGGCAACAAGCTATGAATGGTGAAACAGTCTGTGATTTTCCCCTGTGTTCTGGTGATGAGATGTCAACATATACTTAGTTTTCTCTGTGTTCGCTTCTAGACTGGTTAGAGCCTGTGTATTAATCTTTATAATATTTATATATATTATGTTATCCCCTGTAGGTGGTCGTCATCACCATAGACTAGAAGCTGCTGTGTCCCATTCCGTTTCAGTTCCACCTGGTTTTCCGAATGTTCCTCATGGTGTATTCTAAAAAGCAAAGTTAAAAGGCAGTGGTGGTAAAGCATCTCCTTGTTTTAGACCATTTTGGATAGGAAACTTATCAGACAAAAGGTTTACCTATACAGATTTTATAGGTTTCACTTAAAGACATTTTAAAAAACTTAACGAGTTTCATGGGCTCACAAAACTTGATGGGAATACTGTATGACACTTCCCTTATAACTGAATTATAGAGTTTCTTGAAGTCTGAATAGCTGGTGTGCTGTCTCATTGTACCCTGTAACTGAATTATAGAGTTTCTTGAAGTCTGAATAGCTGATGTACTGTCTCATTGTGCTCCTGATTTTCTTCAGTATCTGACAAATGCAAAAAATGTGTCGGTACTTGAACTGTTATGTTGAAACGACTGATGATCCTGAATAATTTTGTACACATATGAACTGAAGTGTCAGAGAAGGATATTGGATACAATTTTGTATGGAGTTTATAACAGTGATACATCTTGATGCAGGTATCCCTTGCCTGACAAACATCTGATTATGAATTTTTACTGCAAGAAAGTATCTTAATTTGTACCCCCTTTTGACATAATGAATTTCATTTTTGCTACAACAAACAATTTACGTTTGTAAGAAGTTTTTTTTTGTAACGGTGGAGGAACACATCTTAATAGACAGTAGACCTACCTATAAATTAATATTGTTTATTGTAGTTGCTACCATGGTGACACACAGTCTGTATTTCTTTTGTATCCATGAAGATGTGCAAGTAAGAGGCTTTGTTAGCACCATTGCACTGCATCAGCTGTGAGAAAATAAATATGAATAAAATAATACAGTTTTATTTGCAGTAGTAAATATCATAAACAAGTAATACTGCTATTATTTTAGTGTTGTTTACTATTACCACATGTGTTAAAAATAATGGAAGATTTTTCTGGGACTCATGATTAAATCATTCATCAACTTTTACATGTTAATTAATGGGAATATAATTTTTGATGTACAAATTTTCACTTTTATGAACAGTTTTCGTAGAATGAATTACCTCCATAACTTCAAGGATTTACAGGGTGGTTCACAAAATGATCCAGTATTTGATCTGTTAATACAATTTTTATTTCAGTTACAGTACTAGGAACTAACATACAAAAAGGAAGACCATTGCATGGAGATTTATCCTCTGTGAATCGAGTGTTCAGTATGACCACCATTACATCCAGCACCTTCTTCAACATGAGCTGTGATGTTGATCACTCAACGGCATGTATCCTCGGTTGTCTCATTGCAGGCCTGAATGATTAATGCTCTCAATCCCATTATTATTCATGACTTTTTCAGAAAAATCTTTTCTGTAAGGAATCCCGGAAAAAAGTAGTCACATGGGTTTAAATCAGGGCTATTCGGAGGCCGATTCTGTCCACATGCAAAACTTTCAGGAAATCGGTTTTTGATTACATGCCAGTCGAAAGTGTCATGCAGAAAGTCAAAAACAACATTCACTGTGTGTGGCCTGGCTCTATCGAAACAGCAAACTTGTAGCAAGAAGTTTAGGCACAAAATTATTGTGTAACATACTTAATTAGCGTTCAATGTTAACTGCCTGTTCAAAGAAAAGTGGCCCTAGCAGTCGATGACATGAGATAGCGACCCACGCTGTAATTCTCGGTGGATGATACACCTCGTGAATCACTCATGAGCCTGTGATGGTGGCCAAAATTGCACATTTTGTGTATTAACCACAATACAAGTGGAAGTATGCCTCAGCAGAAAACCAATTATTATTGAACAATACCTCATTATTCTGAGCCTTTTCAGTGAATGTCATTCTCTGATATTTGTTTTGAACTGTAAGTTTAGGCAACACTGTCATTTTGTATGGATACAAATTTTTTCAATATTTGTTGCAACGATCGTCTGGATATACCTAGTTGTGCTGCAGCCTTTGTTGTTGATTTAATGGGGATTCTTCACATGGCCATTCTGACAGCACCAGTGTTCTCTGGAGCATACACAGATGAAGGCCGGCAACATTTCCTCTCCAACACTGAAACATCATTTTTAAACTGGTTGTAAACTTCACGAAATATTTTGAATGAAGGCGCCCATTGCATTTGAAAATTGGCATGAAACTGCCTCTGTGTGACCACAACACTTCTTATTTCATTAAAGAACAACACTGTTTTTATACGTTGTTCTACAATCTTCCTTTGTCAGCCATCTTGTGTAAATGGATGCATGAGCAGGACTAGCACGACACTAGCGCACTGAGGAAGAATGGGAACTAATCTACATGATCTGCTGTAAGTGTTACCATGTTACAAAACATCATTCATTGTGTGGCTGAATATTTAATACTAAATCAAATACTGGATCATTTCATGTGCCACCTTGTATGTAAATACGAGTCAGTTTTGTCACCCTTCTTGTGAATTTTTATATAGACCCCTACTGAGGTAATTCTTCCTTATTGCAAACATGATTAAATACAGTAACCTTTGAGGCAGCACAGGCAGTGAGATGACAAAACAGTGCTGAACAACCTCTTCATCAGTCTAATAGTGTTAAAGACAACAAACTATGCAGTTTCACAGTGCGTAATTTCCTTCATTTCACTGACTTAGGACAGACAACTGGAGTCTGTTCCCCAACAGCAATGTTACAAATTTTTATTTTCACTACTATGTGTAGAATAAGATGTCTGTGGAGCGTCCTGACCATTGGAGTACTGTGTGACATTGACTTCTCACCTCCATTTAGTGCTAAGATTAAAAGTGTGTGGAGCTTTGTGTTTTCAGCGAGTATGTTCATGGTGTATAGACATGGAGACAAGTTTGCCTTTGCTGTGGTCTTGTTAACTTTCTGCATGTTTACAGTTATGTAGACACAATTATATATGCATCTATGCCTTTTGAAGAGTATTACTCAGTGGTGTGTAATATATTTTCTTGCTCTATGAACACTTTTTGTTTTTCTTTTTTACAGAAATTTCACAGTATTAACAAGAAATATGCCTGCTGTCAATGATTGTAATGCTTTGCTCACTGATGTCAGTCAAGTTCAAAAGGAACTAGAAAAGTTTGATGTTGAGAAAGCAGTGGATGCCAATGAAATATATGAGTTGCTAAAGACTCATTCTTTTAGAAGTGATCGGGTGCAATTTGTTACTATGCACCTACTGGTTACTCTGGGCTTAAGAAATGACTTGGACAGCGGAGACATGATTAATGTTTCAGATGATAGTGATAATAATTATCTGGATGGTTTTTGTTATGTATCATCCCCAGATTTGTCAGTTCATGATTTACATTCTTCTGCTAAAGAAAATATGAATTGCAGTTGTAACAGCAGTACTGATTATGCAGACGTCCTAGCAGTATCTGAAGTTGATGTATATCCCGCCACTAGCCTTTTTCAGAGTAAGACAGAAAGCACTTCTCATCTGCATGAAATAGAGCCCACAGCATCACCAGCAGCAGGTGCTTCAACACCTGAGAGTAATGCAGGCCTCAGTACCACCATTGAACATAATTCAGAACCTATTAATAGCAATGTTATGTCTCTCTCGACCTATCAGAATGATGACTTTGTGTGTGATATCAATAACAATGATCCAAACAACAATACTGAGTATGAATTCCCTGTTCAAGTTGAAGATAAACAGGAGCAACATAATTTTACTGCCAGAGATTCTGATGATTCTGGGATGGAATTTGAAGATCAAGATGACATTCATTGTGAATTGTTGAAAGAGGCCAGGCTCATTAATAGCATTGTTCCAAAGCAGAGCTTGGAACAAAGTTATTCTTATCTGGAAACAAATGTAGATTGTCAGAATAAAGTCCAGAATGTAATGCAAGAATTTTCAAGAATGGAATTGGAAACTGAATTTTGCAATTCAGCCATAGGTGATTCTGGAAGTATAGGCAGCATATTGGAGATCCCATGTCAGCACATTGTTTCAGAAACACGGGTTCTGGCCGAGCCTCAGCCAGGTTCATCATCTGACAGAGAAATTAAGATAGAGAAGAAGAATGCTGTTAAAACAAACATTCTTCCTGAACCTCAGCCTTCTACATCATCTGATTCTGAAATGAAGATGAGAGCTTTGAAGCGAAATGATGTAAGGGAACTTTGTCCTACATCTAAAAGTGCAAGAATGAACACAAAGGGAAGTGCTATGAGCAAACAAAAGGGAATTAAATTTGAGCAGGGCAGAGTTTCAAACACTTATCAAACAGTTAAAAAATCTTACAGGAAAGCACACAATTCAAGTCAAGTGTTTGAAAATATCAAACCAGGAATTAACATTGAGGCTGAAATTATCTCTTCTGAAACTGATGCCAATCTGCCAAGTATTTCAGCATCAAGTGCATCAACAGAGCAGAGAACTGGGGTTATAGATAATGCAAGGGAGGTGGGAATTATGTCCACAACAGATCTTAATAAGCAAACCAAACTTGCTGATACAAATAATGAATGTGCATTGAGAACAAATACTTCTGATGGTTGGAATGATGAAATATGTGTTTCTGAAACCGGAACTTCACGAGCATGTGTTCATGGTATGGTTGACACCCTCATTCCATCATCATCCACAGAAAGTGTGAAGCTAATTTCATCTAAATCTGCAGGAGAAAGTCGCAAGAGAAGACTGGAATCAGTTGATTCGGAATCTTCATCAAATAAGAAGAAGACTGGAGACTTTGATCAAAGTCATTCCTTACCGCACATGGATATTGCAACTAATGAAATTACTTTAACACAAAACCAACAGAAGTATGAGTCAATTTTGATAGAAATGTTTCCTGATGCAGATCCTCAGTACCTAAGAGAACTGTGCCAGACAGTTGAAATGGAAGAGTCTTTGGTTAATATTGTGACAGAATTATTAGAGAGTGATGATTCTCCATATCACCAGACTCTGGAAGAACCATGGGCTGGATCCTCCACTTCGTCACCTATGCCAGATGAAGACAGAGTTCAGATGCAGTATGACACTTTGGTTGCCATTCTTCCAAATGCTGATCCCGTATACTTGTGGGAAACTTGTGAGAAAATTGGCCATGATGAGGATGCCATGAAGACTTTTGTAATCCAGGCTCTGGACAGAAAAATGTACCCAACACATGAGGACTCTCTCAAAAGACAAGAAGCTTTTGAACTCAAAAAAAAATATACTGAGCAGTTTAGCATCGAAGGTTTCTTGGAAATTCTACCTGACCCATTTAAGTACTTTCTGGAAGAGAAGAAAAACGATAGCAAGCTTATTCAGCATTCACTGGCATATTTAAGAGGAAGATACAAAACAATTGTAGAACGAGTCCTGAGAGATACGCTTTCCAAGAATCATTATAATTTAACATTAACTTGCCACAAATTGGATAACTACAAAGGAAAAAAACGTTGTCGTGCGCGTTCTAAGAGTGAATGCAGGATTCCAGCTGAAGTCAATGTACCCTTTCTGCAGGAGGTGAGTAGTTCTTTCACATTATTTAAACTTAAGCTTTCACAGTCCAGAGAGCAAATTTGATAGTGACAAATGGAGACTGGAAGACAGCACTGCACTGTAATTCACTTGGTTATGAGACAGTTTTCTTGTGAAAGTACTATGATCCGGGATGTAATGCTATGTAGTCTGGTAGAAGTTTGCCTGTGTTTCAAAAAACGATGAATTTCTGCTGGACTACACAGTGTCACATTCCAGAGAATGGGATATTTCATAGTCACAGCTGCAAGAACCTCACATCCATCAAGGTTCTTTTACGTTTCATTTTCGTTAAAAATGAAAAGAAAGAATGAAAAAATATGTAAATAATTAAATGTGAGTCATCATTCTCTGGGTTAAAAGACATTTGCAGCAGTGAAATCCCTCAGAACTCCTGTATCTCTGCATATATTTCTGTGACGTGTGTCTGGACATCGTCTCTATAATCATGAATGTAATAGTACATTATGCACCCAGAAGGAACAGTTCATGCAAACAATTGGACATGTTTCTACGAGGGGTGTTCAAGTTCTAAGGTCTCCAATTTTTTTTTGTCAGGACTGGGAGCAGGTAGACACATGCGGTTTAGTTTAAAATACATGTGCACTCTTTGTGAAGGAATGACAGAGATAGCAGCACTGTACAGCACACAGAACTCTAGTGGTGGCGGCGAGAGTTAGGAGTGTTTTTGATACCTAAAATGGCGACGTTTTCATTACAAGAACAGCGAGTAATTATTCATTTTCTCCACTTGGGTGGTGCAACACCCATTGAAATTCATCGCCAGTTGAGTGAGATGTGTGGTGTTGGTGTCATGAATGTGAAAAATGTGCGTTTGTAGTTGCGACAGTTCAAAGAAGGCCGAACGTCATGTGACAACGAACCAAAACAATCTCGGCCTCGCACCAACCGGTCTGACAACATGGTTGAGCGAGTTGACAAATTGTTTTGGAGGATCACTGATTGAGTGCGGAAAACATCGTCTCCAAAGTTGGCATTTCTGTGGTATCTGTGCACACAATCCTACATGAAGACCTGTGAATGCGGAAAGTGTCCTCCATGTGGGTGCCACGAATGCTGGTGGACGACCACAAGGCTGTGCGCATGGCAATTTGCCAGGCGATGTTGACACGTGATGAAGGCATGAATGGGACTTTCTTTTCATCAATTGTGACAATGATGAGACATGGATGCTGTTTTTTAATCCTGAAACAAAGCGCAAGTCAGCTCAATGGAAGCACACAGACTCACCACCACCAAAAAAAATTTCAGGTAAGTGCCAGTGCTGAAAAAATGATGGTGGCCATGTTTTGGGACAGCGATGGCGTAATCCTTACTCATTGCATTTCCAAGGGCACTATGGTGACAGGTGCATCCTACCAAGATGTTTTGAAGAACAAGCTCCTTCCAGCACTGCGAGAAAAACAGCCAGGAAAGGCTGCATGTGTGCTCTTTCACCAGGACAATGCACCAGCGTATCGGGCATACGCGACGCAGCAGTTTCTTCGTGAAAACAACCTTGAAGTGGTTTCTCATGCTCCCTACTCACCTGACCTGGTTCCTAGCGATTTTTGGCTTTTCCCAATGATGAAAGACACTCTCCGTTGTTGCACATTCACCAGTCGTGCCGCTATTGCATCAGCGATTTTCAAGTGGTCAAAACAGACTCCTACAGAAGCGTTTGCAGCGGACATGGAATCATTGCGTCGACGTGAAAAATGTGTACGCCTGCAGGGAGATTACAATGAAAAGTGACAGAAGTTCCAAATTTTTTATATGATTATTGTGTGAAAAAAAATCGGAGACTCTAGAACTTGAATGCACCACGTACAAATGGAAATAATTATGCAATATAAATTTCAGGATACAGGTGACAGTCCTGAAGAAAATGGGAACATTCATACTAAGGCTCACCTTCTGCGGTATTACATCAAATAGTTAGTACATGAGTACTAGTGTTTTAGAGGAACGTACTGCTTCCAACTTCATCTGCACCATGAAGATGAAATCAGTATGTTCCTTGAAAAAACTGATAACCACCTAGGAGACTATATGCCATAACACAGAAGACAAAAATATGAAATGTAAATTATATCTCATTAAAATTTGCCATTGTCTTATATTTGAAATTATCTCATAGTTGGTGTAAATATGGTGGTCCCTAGTGTGAAATTTAAGGCGTGCTTTCAGGGAGAGATGTGCCTACATTCTCTGTCCATTGTTCAATTTGCATATTGTTTTCTTACCATTCTCCTTATACGTGGTACAATCCAAAAGTTCCTGAAATATATTAATAACAACTATTACGTCTTACCTGGATCTATTCTGCACCATCACCTTCAAAGTAGTCCCCTTGGGGGCGCATACACCGATCCCTGTGTTTCTGCCACTTTTGAAATGCATTCTGGAAGTCTTACTTTGTTAGGGTGTTTAGTACCATCTGCATTTCCACTTGAACTTCCTCAACTGTATCAAATCTTTGCCCTTTCAACTTGATTTTCATCTTGGGGAAGAGAAAGAAGCCACATGGAGCTAAGTCTGGCGAGTATGGAGGGTGGGGAACAACTGCCATCTTGTTTTTAGCCAAAAATACCTGCACAGTGTAAGCCGTATGCGGTCGTGCGTTGTCATGGTGGAGTACCCAGTCGTTTGTGCGCCACTTCTCTGGATGTTTTCTCCTCATGTCCTCCCTCAAACACCTTAGAACATCGCGATAGAACTCTTTATTGACTGTCTGACCAGGAGGGACAAACTCCTTATGAACAATCCTGTCAATATCAAAAACAGATCAGCATGGACTTAATATTGCTCTTGACTTGTCGAGCTTTTTATGGCCAAGGTGAAGAAGGGCTCTTCCATTGTGACGATTGCTGCTTACTTTCAGGGTCATAGCCATCAACCCAACTTTCATCACTGGTGACCACCTTCGAAAGAAAGTTTGGGTCCTCTTGAAGCTGTTGTTGAAGTTCCCTGCAGACTTCCAAGCAATGCTGCTTCTGTTCATTTTGCAGCAGTTGTGGCACAAACTTCGCTGCAATTCTCATGTTCAGTTCCTCTGACAAAATTCGTTGACATGTACCATAACTTAGTCCCAAGGTGTTAAAGAGGTCTTGGATGGTCAGTCTACGATCTTGCAGAATCAGATCCCTAACTTTCGCGACATTTTCTAATGTGGTGCCATTTGACGGCCATCCTGAACAATCGTCGTCATCAGTCGATGTTCAGCCATTTTTTAAATGCTTATACCAGTCATAAGTTTGTGTCTGGCGTAAACTGTTGTCACCAAAATTTTGCTTCATCATTTGGTGCGTTTCTGCAGCGGTTTTCCCGAATTTAAAACAAAACTTTATACAGACACTCTGCTCTCTCAGGTCAGCCATCGCAAAACCGCAAACTCACGGAAACACAACAATAAACCCAACCACTCAACTCGACGCCGCTTGCCACACTGATTCAAGAAGGGTGTGTGGGGAGACACATAGCGGTATTTCGATGTACTCATAACCATTCGCGCGCAAAATTAAAATTTCGGGAACTTTTGGATTGCACCATGTATAATACAGTCTGGATGTTCTTCATAAGTTTATAGAAATTAATTGTATGCTACAGCTCTTGTTCTTAAATACCTGTAAATTAATTTTTATGCTACACCTCTTAGTCTTAAGTTTCTAGAATTGCAATTGGTGATTATTCATGCGGTGTTAGAAGAGTAGCCGGCCTGCGAAAGTGCGGGTAAATGATGAAATCTGAAGTATGAATCAAGAGAGCACTAACTCACTGGAGCAGAGTTCTTAAGAACCTGCCACTGGACACTCCCCTGAGCCAGATGAATCCAGTATACAGTGCCTCATCTATTTTTCTAAGATCAACTTTTATACTGTTCTCCCATCCACATCTATATGTCCCATGTATTCTTCCCATCAGGTTTTATCACCATTTACATGTGTACTACATGCACTGCCCATCTCTTTCTTTATTTCATCATCCTAACATTATTTGACAGGAAGTACACTTTACTGGTTTATTGATTAATTAATGATGGTCTCAGTGGCTATTTAGCTGTGAAGGGTATTATGATTAGTGTACAGTGAACTTGAAGGGATATTGAGAGAAGTCTTAATTCAAGATGCTCTCCCAGTATTTGCCATAAAAAAAACAGGATAATCAAGCTTTGGGCTGAGATTTAATCTGTGACCTCTAAAATACAAAGCAGGATTGGTACTCACTTTACTGGGCTGTCTGATTAAATAGTACAAACTGTGAAGGTCCTCAATATGAAATTTTCTTCTGACTCTGTTGTTTTCTCATTTGTCCAAATATTTCCCGTGGCCAAGTCTCGCCCTCCCCCCAGCAAAGTGACATAGAAGTTTTGTACAAGGGTATTGATTGATTAAGGGATGGGCTATGTTATACCAGGCCTTATGCTGCAGCCATTTTTTGATCTGTTGTGTACCCCCTTCTTGGTTAGCCCCCCAGGAGTCTCACACTTCAGATGAAGGCAAGGGGGCCTTAGTGGGGCATTTGAGTATTTGTTTGGCGCTATGAAGTGAAACCCCAAGTGACAAAATGTTGAATTGGCTAGAGTCTCACAGTTAATTAACATGTGTGAAGCTGTCTCATGTTAGTTCTGGCACCTTTTTTTAATGGGACTATCATATACATGTAAGCTGGTTCCTGTTTAATTTTTATAGTTTTTTTGTGTTCTTCTGTGAACTCCCAATGTTTTTTATAGTTTCTGTTCATTCAGTTGAGCAGCTCCTGATATGCCATGTGCTAATTCAGGTCCTGTAAATGGGCATTCAGATCTTGTTGCCAAGGGGTTGGCAGTCCCATTACATTGATTCCGCTGTGACATGGCACTCACATCAGTTTAAGACCATAATCTTCTACCAATTTCACAAGGGACTGGTGGCAGTCCCTAATCAGTTAAAGAGTTGTTTTGGTAACTTCTAAATGCTCTTAATACTGACTGACCGTATGACAGA